CTGGTAGAGGATCAGACATTCCTGCTCAGTTGATGTCAGGTTTAGCCATACGACTTGCTTTAGCCAAAGAAATAAGAGGAAATTACACATTTTACTTCTGAACAGAAGCTTTCAGAGTAATGTCTCATTTCCCTCTACCACAAGGTTAATATCCCAGACAAGAGCTGCATCTCTTGCCCAAGTCCTGGAAATGGGCCATGATAAATACACAGCATTAGCAAAAAATAAACCCTGGTTATTATAAACCACTAAAATTGAGGGATTGTTTGTTACCACAACATAACCTAGCCTAAACTGACTTATATATCAAAAAAAGGACTCTGACTACCCTGTTTTGATCACATCTCTTGCTTAACTCTTCAGTGACACTCATGTGTCACTATCATACTATGAAGGCTCTTTCTGATACAGTCCTGCTTGTCTCTCCAGGCTTATTTCCTGGGACTCCCTTTATATTCCATACCACAACCATACTAGATTATTTTAAAAAGATTTCTCAATCATGTTGGCCCTTCTGTTCATTTATTTACATGTTTTTCATAAAAGAAATGTTATTCCTCCAGTTCTATCCCAATCCACCCAAAATGTCTATACTTCCTTTAAGGATCCACTTAAACAGAGCTTCCCCTGTGAAGGTTCATGTAAACCTGTCCCCTTAAACACAACTGGTTGCTCCACCACAGGATTTTAAACATCCTCTATTAGCCATTATCTTGCTATTTATATAAATAGGTATGTCTCCAACTACATTGTGGCTTCCTTAAGAGAAAAGACTATGTCTTACTCATCTTTGGAGTCCAAGAATCTAATGCAGTGCTTGGCATATAACAGAGGATCAATATAAGCTTATACAGTGCTAATAGTCTTTTTCCAGCAAAGTTGGATACAAAAAGATAAGACAGGGCCTTGCATCATGTTAAAAGATAATATAAAAAAAATCTAACCTATTCCACTCTTATTTTGCTTCTATATTTCTTTGTCAAGAATACTCTTCCAGATTGGAAAGAGCAGAACACATATGGTTAAGAGAAAACTGAAGCCTGAGACAGAAGAAAAGATAATAAAAGAGCATCCAGTAGCTTTTTAATACATTCAAATCTCTAGAATCAGATAAATTATAGCCTAAAACGTTGAGATCTCCATGATATATCATGGAAAACAGAAGCTAAAAGACTAGAAAATAGGGCGCCTGGGTGGCTCAGTTGGTTAAGCGACTGCCTTTGGCTCAGGTCATAATCCTGGAGTCCCGGGATTGAGTCCCGCGACGGGCTCCCTGCTCATCGGGAAGTCTGCTTCTCCCTCTGACCCTCTTCCCTCTCGTGCTCTCTATCTCTCATTCTCTCTCTCTCAAATAAATAAATAAAATCTTTAAAAAAATTTTTTAAAAGAAGACTGGAAAATAGGAAAATTTTATTTCAATTTTCTCAATTTCAAAGGAAAAAAAGAGAGACATACTAAATTCTTGGAACTACAGATTAAGATTTTAACAAGGATTCCCAGAAAAATTCTATGTCAGCCTATGGCAGGGTAGGGAAGGGGTATAGAGAGCACCAGAAGCCAGAATGGGTTCAATAAGAAAAAAGTCATGCTGACCTAATTTTACTTTTGGCAAAATTAGTAGACTGAGAGATCAGACAAATAACAGAGTAGGTCAAATACATCTTACTGAAATCAAGCTAAGATTTCTTATATTAGTCAGGTAATAGATTCAAAATTGGTTAAACAGCCATCCTCAGATTATTAATCAATGACTTAACATCCATCCGGATGGTAGGCTCTAATGTTATCACAAGGCTCTGTATTTGGCCTTACTTTGGTAGATGTTTATCAACACTCTGAAGATTTAAAAGGTAGCTTATACATTTTGCTAGTGATATAAATCTGGGATGATTAGATAAGGCCATGAATGATATAATCAAAAAAATAAATATCTGAACAGGTAGAACAATGGACTGAAAATACAAAATGAAATTTATCAAGAATGAATGTAAATGCAGTTATCTAAAGAAAAGTATTCTACTGGTAAGACATCAATTTTAACATCAGTTGATGATTAGTTGAGAATTTAATTGTGTTAAATAACAAAAATTCAAACTGAGCAAATTTAAAAATCAAATTGGCTTTAACGATTCATGAATTGAACAGCATCCAATCTAGCAAACAGAAAGAAGCTCCAAAGAGCTACAGAAAAGGAAAGGTTGGGGCACCTGGGTGGCTCAGTTGGTTAAGTGTCTGACTTAGGCTCAGGTCATGGTCCCAGGGTCCTGGGATGGGCCCCCCACCCCCGCATTGGGCTTCCCACTCAGTAGGGAGCCTGCTTCTCCCTCTCCCACTCCCCCTGCTTGTGTACTCTCCCTGTCAAATAAATAAAATAAGAAAGAAAGAAAGAAAGAAAGAAAGAAAGAAAGAGAGAGAGAGAGAGAGAGAGAAAGAAAGAAAGAAAGAAAGAAAGAAAGAAAGAAAGAAAGAAAGAGAAAAAGAAAAAAAAAGAAAAGAAAAAAGAAAAGGAAAGGAAAGGAAAGGAAAGGAAAGGTAAGGTTTGGGGGCACCTGAGTGGCTCAGTCAGTTAAAGCATCTGACTCTTGGTTTCAGCTTGGGTCATGATCTCAGGGTCATGGGATCCACACTCAGCACAGGCAGAATCTGTCCCTCTCTCTCTGCTCCTTCAACCTGGCCCCCTCACATACACACACTCTCTCTCAAATAAATAAATAAATAAACAAACAAACAAATAAATAAAATCTTTAAAAAAGAAAAGAAAAATAAAGGTTTTTAAAGTCAGAGAGGGGATGGGAAAAGGGTCATTAATGAAAAAAATAATTATTTCTGGCAAGGTCACCTTCCTTTGGGAGAAAATCAGGGTCTATTAGGCAGGATAACCACACTGGGACTAACCAGGAAATTCCAGACTGACCAGTTAAGATTACATTCCTGAGGAAGGTCAAAACTGCAATTAGGTTAAGTATTAAATCTCGGTTTGGTGACATCGGGTTAGTACAAGGGACTCCATTTTTGACCTGTTATTTCTTTTTAACAACTGAGTGTAAGTTCAAAATGAGCCTTCATTATGAAGTGTCATAATTAGCTTAAGAGGTCTAAACAAACTCAGTTACCAAATAACAGTACAGTTGATATGGGAAACAAAAGCAAAAGAAAAATTATTAAATTTCCTTACTATCTACAGCCCATTGACAAGTCCTGGAAACAGGCAGAGTGACATTCCTCTAGGAGGGACTCAACTGCCTCCATGTTAATACTTCGCTAAAGGCAAAAGATAATCCTAACCCAACCTCCACCCCCAGGATCCTGTAAGACTACTTTAACATATAAAAATTCCTTAGAAATTTCCTTTATCTCTAAACCCTGCAAGATTCGTATTGGCAAACAGCCCCCCAAGCATAAGGCCCACCAATATACATCTGAAGAGTCTCATGACTAAGGTTTTATTAGACAGTAATAAATGACCTTTTCCCAACAAGAGCTAGCCTCCTCAAGGTCCTGGAAACCTTGCTTCCAAATTCCTTAGAGACTTAGGCTACCCTGAACCCCTTCCCAACTTGAAAGTATATAATGGGCCACTCCTCATGACCTTGGTGCAGCTCTTTCTGCCCACCAGTCCTGTTCCCAGGCTTTAATAAAAACCACCTTTTTGCACCAGGGATGTCTCAAGAATTCTTTCTTGGCTGTCAGCTTTGAACCCTAAATGTTCTTTCCTACATCACAGTAACCTGAACAAAAAAAACCTGCTACAGGTCAAGCAACAGCCTAAAACCATAATTTCGTATGTGAACTCTTACAGGTTAACCCTGGCCATATAATAAATTCAGAAAAGGATAGCCAGGAAGGTTAACAGGGCTGGCAAACTAAATCATATGAAGAACAACTAAGAGAATCAGGAACAATTTCCACAAATAAGATCTGAGGCAGGAAAAGGAACATCAGAGCTGTTTCCAAGTATTTGAATGACTGTTAGATTAAAGGGCAGGTATTATGCTTTTACATATTTTGAACTTATTCTCCATGCACACAGTTCTAAGCTTTTCATATAATAAATGCTCAAATATTTGAAGTTCAGGATCAACTCACCTGTTGATGGCTAAGCCAACAAAGACAGTTGTTACAAAGGAGTACCTGAGATGATCTGAATGACAACTCAACAAAAGGGTATGGTCGGAGGAAGGAGGCTTAAAAATCAAAGTAACAGTATTTTAAAAGCCTTTACTGAAGGAAGCTAAAGAAGATATGTAAGGCTTATTATCCTATAATTTAGAATTTGTCTTACATCAGATGACATTCTTGACCACACCACTAGTTATATTTTGGCCCCTTTTGTAAATATTTCCCACAATCGAAAGAGTCCTTGTTTTCAATCTTACTTTACAAAGTGAAAACTGAGGCTGATGGAAGTATTTGCTTAGCACCAACAGTATAACAGTGGTTAAACTTGAATAAGAACCCCAAGCTTTTCACTCATAAACTCTGTTAAAACCACTGGACTCATTTAGGAGGCAGTAAACAAGTACAGTACTTAATTTAGCAACTCAACCCAGTTTGGTAATAACTTTGGTTTCACTTTTGTTACTCCCTTCGTCATCCAATCTCTAAATCCACAGAGTAAGTCCGCATTAAAACTCCAAAACACGTAAAAAATTTTATTTCTTAAAGCCTAAAGGCAAAAACAAAAAATTAAGATTTGAAACAAAGGATTTGTCTCTCTCATGCTACTTAGGTTCTAGCCTTAGCACTATCAGTTCTATCATAAGCCAAATCTTGGCCATCAGGGTCTATTAGATGCACACCACACTGTTTCTCCGGAAACCTAAGTGGCTTCCTTTGTGCATCAGAGATTTGGTGCAGAGTTGCAGCAATGTTAGTGCCAGAAGGCAATGAGAAAAAGGTAGTGTTAGTAAAGGAAAAAGAGGTCTTCATGTATATGAAGAGAATAAGCACATTGTTTGGAGATTCATTTTGTTTTATATATGTATTAAAACATGGTATTAGCTTCTCAGAAAATTGAAAAAGGCCAGAGTGGCACAGGACTTGATGATATCTGAGGAGCAGCTATACCAGAATTTTAAAATAGCAAAATGCTAGTCAGCTCTAGTTGAAAAACTATAAAGGAATGTCCTAACAAGTGCCCACGCTCACAACTTCCTTCCCGAGGAGGTTCATTTACATTATAATGGTTGCCAAGGTTACTTTAATTCCATCACCGCTCTTTTTTCTAGTTGCTAATCTGGAGCACGGGACTGGGTGGTACACATTAACAACCAAAACTTCAACTAAGGCTAACTCAAAACTCAGGCTACTCAAAAGTTCATGACCTACAAAAGAAGAGTAGTTCTAGCAACAGAAATTGCAGAAAGGTAGGGGCCATTTGTTTCCTATATTATATTCTACCCACGATCTCACTGCTACCTCCGAGAACTTGCTAGGAGTCACTATTTTTATTTGCCCTAAGCAGAGATTCTTAGGAAAAGCTAGATAAATAACATAAATACTATATAGGGTAATGGATCAAACCAGTGAGTGCTTATTCTAAGTATTTTTTCCCTTCCTTTAATAAAAAAAGGCCATTATCTAAGAGGACACTGAAGAGTGTTTCATATGACTCATCACCAAGTATCAGTATCATCTTCTAAGAATGACAACATATAGTGCTGGCTATACAAGTAGTATCTAAATGAGACATAAACAATTAGGCAAGTATATTCTATATGAAAGTACCAACCAAACAGAACACATAGTAACAGAAAAAGTGAAGAGGAAATAAAGGCCAAAAAAAAAAAGAGGAAGATTTCAGAAACATGAACCCCAAATATTCACTTTAAGTATAGATTAACAATAAAATATGTTCCAATGATAATTTGTTATCAGAAATATTACTCCCAAAGGTAGTAACAGTGGGAGACACAGGGTACTGGTCTGCAGATAGCCTCCTAGTCAACCGATAGATGCTTCAAACATCACCTCACTGAAGAAATGAAGTTTTACATTTACATATTTTTATTCTAGTTATTCTTTTATCCCACTCCCATTAGCACTCAATTTAGGTAATCGCTGTAATATATTTTATGTGCTTACATATTTTCTTGCAAACTGTGCGATGTGTTTTACTTACATACATTTTTTAATTTATATAAATGCTATTGTATTACATATCCCAGTCTGTTCCTTTCTTTTTTTTTTTTAAGATTTTATTTATTTATTTGACAGAGACACAGCGAGAGAGGGAACACAAGCAGGGGGAGTGGGAGAGGGAGAAGCAGGCTTCCCGTGGAGCAGGGAGCCCGAAACGGGGCTCGATCCCAGGACCCTGGGATCATGACCTGAGCCGAAGGCAGACGCTTAACGACTGAGCCACCCAGGCGCCCCCCAGTCTGTTCCTTTCTGTTTTTATTCAGTACCTTGTTTTTAAGATACATCATGTTGCCATGTGCACATCTAGTCCACTGCTTCAAACTGACAGACAGTTCTTAGTGGGATAAGTGTGTCATAATTTACCCATCATTAGGGAAAGAGTAGGACAACAAGTTTGTTTTCTGTAAACAAATAACACCATAATGAACAACCAGTTATATACTGTGTGAGCATTTCTTTCAGATATACGCCTAGGGAAAGAGCTTCTGGATCATGGGGTATACATAATGTATAATCTGAGTACTTCCTTCCAAAATGGTTAGACCAATCTATACTTCCACAAACACAGAACTAGCATAACTAGCAGCTACTATGGACCAGGCACTGGACTAGGCACTCTAGATCTTTTTTCTTCTATACCACCTCATCTTCCTTAGCTAGTCTTTGCCCCCTTTTGCTTTTCAGATCAGCTATCATCACATCAGAAATATGAAGGCAAGGACTTCCTCCCTTACTTTTTCCCTATCAAGTTCCCTACTCTACTCCTATGCCATGAGCTGCCAATGTCTCCACTAACCATGAAGTTTATGAAAACAAAATCAAACTTCAAATGTTATTTTTAGGGCACCTGGGTGGCTCAGTTGGTTAAGCGACTGCCTTCGGCTCAGGTCATGATCCCGGAGTCCTGGGATCGAGTCCCACATCGGGCTCCCCCTTTTCTGTGGGGAGCCTGCTTCTCCCTCTTCCTCTGCCTGCCACTCCCCCTGCTTGTGCTCACTCTGTCTCTCTCTATGTCAAATAAATAAATAAAATCTTTTAAAAAAATGTTATTTTTAAAAGGTCTGATTCTCAAAAAGTCATTAATTGAGGTTTATCTGTTACAGAGAACACTAAGAAATTCCTTTCTGAAATTCCTTTCATACATTTCAGAGCCATTCCTATTTTTCTGCTTTGGGGAAGTCTTGGAGGAATAGCTCCATCTCTTTGGAACCCTTTTCTTCATACATAAAAAATAAGGGGAGCTAGATTACAATCAGTGTTTTCAATCTATACTCTGGAACCCAAGGGTTCCAACTCTGATGGCTCAAGAGGATCATCTCAGGACAAAAGGGGGCTACCTATATGCCTCTTCTTTTTTTTTTTAAAGGTTTATTTATTTATTTTAGAGAGAAAGAGCAAGCACAAGCGGGAGGGACAGAGAGAGAGGGACAGAATCTCAAGCAGACTCCGCGCTGAGCATTGAGCCCAATGTGGGGCTCGATCTCTTGACCCTGAAATCACGACCTAAGCTGAAACCAAGAGTCGGGACGCTTAACCGACTGAGCCACCCAGGTGCCCCTACATATGCCTCTTCTGTTAGAACAGCACAATAAAATTTTTTTTTTAAAGATTTTATTTATTTATTTATTTGAGAGAGCAACAATGAGAGACGGAGAGAGAGCACATGAGAGGGGGGAGGGTCAGAGGGAGAAGCAGGCTCCCCGCTGAGCAGGGAGCCCGATGCGGGACTCGATCCCAGGACTCCAGGATCATGACCTGAGCCGAAGGCAGTCGCTCAACCAACTGAGCCACCCAGGCACCCCTAAAATTTTTTTAATTATAAATTTTGAGAATCAGTTCTATTTAAGAAAAAGTTTATTCACACTACTAGTTGAGAGTGTTTACTGGTATAACCTCTATTGCATTTGGCAATATTTATAAAATAAAAAAATATACCTACCTTTTGAACCAGAAATTCTATTTGTAAGAATCTATTCTACAGACATTAACACATATATACAAAAATATTCATTATGCCATTGTTCATAAGGGCAAAATATTGGAAACAACCATAAATAGCAAACTGGTTACATAAATTATGGTACATCCATTCAATGGACTATAGACTTTAAAAACAAAGCAGCTGTAGGATATATTAAGTAGGAAAAAAGCAAGATGCAGAATGTTGTTATGTAGTATACTACCTTTTCTATATTTTTAAAGGATATACACACTTGTACATAGCTGAAGGGTAACAAGAAGCCAGCTTTCACCTGGCAAGGTGGACGTGTCTATTACATAATGGTATTAAATTTAGTATTAGCATTGCCTACTCCTATAGAATGAACATCCTTCTAACTGGATCTCACCTTTTTTTTTTTTAATGGATCAACTCCCTTGAGTTCATCAAGCCAGGTCTATCAAATGAATTGCCTTATCCCCAGGAACTGTTAGAAAAAATAATATATTCATGTAAATAACAGATGACAGTATCTATGCAGCTCAAAATTTAATTTTTACTTACTTTTGAATGACACTATTCAATAGATAGCCACTAGCCACATGTAGCTGGTGGACACTTGAAATGTGTCCAAATTAAAATGTGCTGCCAAAACAACACACTAGATTTTGAAGATTAAGTAATAAAGGGCAAGGGGCACCTGGGTGGCTCAGTTGGTTAAGTGTCTGACTCTTGAATTTGGCTCAGGTCATGATCTCAGGGTGGGGAGACTGAGCCCTGCATAGGGTTCTGTGCTCAGCAGGAAGTCTGCTTGGGATTCTCTCTTTCCCTCTCACCCTCTGCCCCTCCCCACTTTCTAAAATAAATAATTTTTTTTAATTTTAAAAATAAAAATTAAAAAGGACAAAATATCTGAATTTTTATACTGATCACATATTGAAATAACATTTGGATTTGTTTGGCTAAATACAATATATTGGGTGCCTGGGTGGATCAGTTGTTAAGCGTCTGCCTTCAGCTCAGGTCGTGATCCCAGGGTCCTGGGATCGAGCCCCGCATCGGGCTCCCTGCTCTGGGGGAAGCCTGCTTCTCCCTCTCCCACTCCCCTTGCTTGTGTTCCCTCTCTTGCTGTGTCTCTCTCTCTCTGTCAAATAAATAAATAAATAAAATACAATATATCATTAAAATTAATTTTACTTGTTGCTTTTTACTTTTTAAAATGTAACTACTATGGGGCGCCTGGCTGGCTCAGTTGGTAGAGGATGAGACTCTTGATCCTCAGGGTCATGAGTTCAAGCCCCACATTGTGCATAGAGCTTACTTAAAAATACACAAATAAATTAATTAACTTTTAAAAATGTGACTACTAGAGGAGCCCCCAGCTGGCTCAGTCAGTAAAGCATATGACTCCTGATCTTGGGGTCATGAGCTCGAGCCCCATGTTGGGTGTGGAGCCTACTTAAAAATTAATTAATTAATTAAAACGTGACTTAGAAAATTTAATTCTACACTTTCTGATTAATTCTGACACCCTGCTATATTTTGATTAATTCACTTGCTCATACTCCACAAAAAACTACTTCAAATATTCACCATTTTACTCAAACTTCTGAAGCCTTTTTCTCTTCCCCTTCTTAGCTGATGACCTAGCTCAGAGAAAATAAAGGGTAGCTATAATATTGTCTTCAAGTCTCTTTACCAAAATTAGATCTTTGAAATAAAGCCTGTAGATTACACTGTTTTGGCTTAATGAACACTGATGGTTTTACAGCAGTATGGTACAACAAAGAGATACAGATAGAAAATTAAAAGACTTCGGCTCCAGTTTCAACAAAACTGCTATTCTTTGAAAAATATTAACAATGTACCAATCATGTACAAAATAATTAAACGTAAGTATCTAGTTTTTTAAATCATAGTTTAAAAAAACAGTAATAGTTTCCCTGAAACTAATGTTATACTAAAAAGTCAGTTAGTATATTTCAAACTCTATTTCAGTATTAAATAAAATGATGGATTTCACTGAATTAAAAGATATAAAAAGCTATACAAAGGTAAAATTATATTAAAGGATAATAATGTAGTTTTGCCAACATTTTTTCTTCTTCCTGTCTATTAATGGTGCTTTGGCCCAAGCTTATCTTGTTAGACCCCCTACAATGGTTCTACGTATAGCTACCATTATGATTAGGACCTTCATAACAATTTCCAAAGCTATTTCTTGACGCTCTCCTTCAATTTCCACTTAGACACCAGTTCTATCTGTAAACATCTTCATTTAGATGT